AGTACAAGTACTGTACTGTACTGTACTTCGTACTGTACCTTTCTGCACATAGTATCCCTGGGCAGTGAGAGTTGCCGTGGACTGCACATGGCATACTCGATGCCAAGGAGCTCCTCCTCGTCAGGGTGCTCGTACCGCATCGGGGACCGGCATCAAGCACGAAGTTCGGTCTCCAGGACGTGTTCCTTGGGCCGAAGAGAACCTCGGGCTGCTGATTTGATTCCGCTGGATCTGCTGCAGCGTCCATTGCACGACGGTCTTGCCGACCCGACCACCAGGCAACACGAGCGATGCCATGCGGTTGTTCCACTGCACGGCAAAGCCATCAAGTATACCTGACACACATGACCACTTTGGACTGTTGATGGACTGTTACTGTATGTGTTACAAGTGATGACTAAAGATTGTGAAATAAAAATGCATGATTGAACTATGCCAGTCAAAAGTGTTTTAAATTACACTGTATGAATTATACTGTATTGATATGCATATATGAACCTGGTCTGCAGTAAAGCTTTATATTATTATGTTTTTAATCACACACTTGAAAATGCATAATCATCTCTGTGAAGAATAGCATTGAAACAGGGTGGCGTGCAACCCTCCAGAGGTTGCTGCCTCGCCGGCCCACTTCACTTTTTCAGCCGCACCCGCCCTCTCCACCCCCACCCTCCACAACCATCCCACATGTATGCCAGGCGTCGTCCTCGTGCACCCACTCAACTCCCACTCAACGGTCCTTATTTATTCTGGTGTCCTTCTGAAATGTTGCCAACAAGTTTTGAATGGTTTCACAATGTCAAGGCCGGCTCGCGTCCGCGAACCTCCAGGCAAGCGCATCGGCACCTCGCACCAACAGCAGTCTCCGTAACCACGATCACTCATCATTTCCTCAGCGTTGAGTGTCTAAACTCACCATTATATCTTACACCTGTACACATTAACCAGTTACTTTCTCAAGCTCAGCATCTGAACTCGGACTACCGTCTCTGTCCAGTACAGTGAATCAATATCCATGAATCCATATCACTGAAACTCATGCAAAATGCAATATCACACTCTACCTCAACCCCACCGGTACATCCGCGCCTACGTCAAGGGCCTGATCTGATGAGGCTTAAGGCCACAGGCATCATCTCCCATCAGATACCCCTGGCCCGCTACACGCTCTGGGTTGCCACTTCTGACGCCTGAACAGGGCATCATGTCCGCCTCTGTTGTAGGCACAGCACGGCACCTGCCAACCGGCACTCATACACAGCCCCGTACTTGGCGTGCTCTGCTTGCGCGCTCCCCCAGCGTTCAGCAGTGCGGATGCTGCAATCGAATGCCACGCCCTCTCACCCCCCAGTCACCAACAGGTTTCCAAGGAAAGGGATGAACCGGCTGTCACTGAAAATGAGATCATGACATTTTGTTTAGTGTGTTACATGTTTGCGATTATCCGTTTCATCATAGGTTTCAATTTGCTTATATAAACTCACCGACAACAGTTGGTGTCGCCATACAAGACCTTCGGCGCAGGGGGAGCGTTGCACGACGGAAAACGGGCGATTGAGACCCTCTCGCCATGCGCGCGTAGCACCCCTCGGACTCCTCTGCCACCACCACTGTTGGCTCACGAACTGACCCCACTCGTTGAGCCACACTGGTGACGTTACTGCAAATGGTTGCCTGGCCATCCCCGGCCACCAGTATATCTTTCTTGAGCGATCTATGAAAACAAAGCAGAACATTAATTTGCATGGTGTTATAACAGTCCGGTCTGCTTCCATATGTTAAGTACTTCATACTGTACATACCTTCCTCGTCGCCGTGATGCACAGGATTCCCCAGTCGTACTGAGGATTTGGTCTCTGTACATGGGCATCTTTTCGATCTCCATGATCAGGTGCACACGCCTCCAGAACCCGAGCAGACGGAACCGGCGCGCGAGGACGGGGCAATGGGAGGGTGTAAGTGCCGGGCTGCTCTCGGCCAACGACAGGGATGCCTCGCTGAGATGACGAGGATCCAGGCCGACGGTGTTGGCATCGAACAGCAGAGTCTGGTACAGGTCACGAGCCTCCACGTACACTCGTCGTGGCCCTGCTGCAGCAGGGGCCTCTGGCACCTTACTCATGGAGCCACGTTGAGTCGGCTCACTCATCAGGGTGACCACACTTCTGTCCCGACAGCCACGCTTACACAGAGGTATGGCCGCGGGGAACATGCTTCTGACGGGCCGGGGCGCGAGGTTCATCAGGATCTTGGTGACTGTACGCAGCCACGTGCTACTGCTGGGCATTGGTGGCATTCATCCTCCTTGTTGCTCGCTGTTTTTTGTTAATCAATTATGGAATATTTCCAGTACTAGTTCCTCCACGCCCCCCCCCCCCCCCTCGATTACACGAATGGAATCCAAGGACTGGATTGTTGATATATATATAAGCATATATATATATATATATATATATATACAGTATATATATATATATGCTTCTATATACAGAATATAGCCCAATTGAATGCTATGTTGTAAGAACTTTAATATTTTTCTCAAGGCATCGTAACTTTCCAAGCATTTAATATAGTAATAACAATAAACAGTTAAAAAGCAAAGTCAAATAACAATGAATTTGCCCCACGGATCAATATAGTCTTTTTATATATATAATCTCACTTTTTGTTAAATTTCTGTTTGTTTCTGACATTGTATTGGATTAAAGATTCACACATGTTTATTTGTTGATGTAATAATGTTAATAAAGTCTGTTTGTACACAACTGTGGTCCAACTTGCTCATTTACTTTACATCCAATGTGCCATAATCATTTTTTATTATTATTTAAAAATAAAATGTTCCATGCATCAGTATTTACTTTTGTTCTTATGTTATTGTCCCTTTATATTTATTAATATTAAGTTTATGTTTTTAAAGTGACAACTGTCGTTTTTTTGTGCGTGTTAAGTTAACGCCTTCAGCTCATCGTCACTTCCGTTTTAGGTTTTTCAACATTAAAGTCCTCATTGGAAATAATCTTTTTCACTGTGATTTTAGAGGTTGAGAGGCACTGAAAGCGTCCCCACACTGTATAACACTGGTTCTTAAACCCTTTTTCATTAATGGACCCCCTTTTAAATATTTTTTACCAGTCAAGTGTTGAGAAAAACACATAAAATATGTAGAATCCAGGTTTTACTGCATTGAACAGTTTACAGCAGTTAATAATTGCATTGAAAATAGAAATACCGAATATAAAATGTAATTTATCTAACTTACATTTACTTTTTTTAATAGTTGTAATAGTGTAGTATAATTATTTTTTAAATTATGCACGACTGCTATGTTTTAAATGCCCCCTGCAGTACACCAAAGTGCCCCTATTATAGAAACACTGCTCTGTAAGATGAATATCACTGTAAACAGACATATCGCAAACCAGATTAATGATCACAACATCATAAAATAAGCATAACATTATGAATGAATTCATAGTTAAGTCACTGTAATGTAGCTGTAAGCAGATAGAAGTGTTTGTCAACAACTCCTATAAGTGGAGGCTGATGACAATATAGTAAAACACAGCTGTAGTGTTGTACTGCTTATAAATTATTACAGAAATATCCTTTTATTCCTCCACCAAGCTGTTGCACAGTGGAAAATGGCTGCTAAGTAAAAATGATCTGTAATTGCTGCCACATTTTATCACACACACAATGCTTCACTCACCTTCATGTGTTTTGTGCGTCTACTGTTTGAGCATTTTTTTTGAGCCCTTGTGTTGATCAATTCACCAAACCCTAAAGTCCCAGCGTCCAAAACCCACTGAAATCCACTGAACGTCTCAGGACAGAGTGAAACCGTGACTGATGACTGACAAGGTATCATTATGTGGTCAGTGTGAGGGATTATTAGTTTGTATGTAGGTCACCAAACTATTGGCTTAGGGTGTAGATTTTTGCCCTTTCTGCCGTCTAATATCTAAACTGCATGGCTCACTGGTCTTGAGGCATGAACTAGACTAGGCTGCTAAGGGCCCTACTGCCACCAGGGGGCCCCCAAGACAACAAGAGTGGAAAAATAAAAGAACAATATTTATTTCATTCATTTCATTTATTTTAAAAATGCATGTGATTGCTTCACCTGCTGCAGGAAGCGTCTGTGATTCACGTCTGAAGATATCAAACAAAGTTGGTGGTTACAGCTGCAGCTGCTGCCAGCTTTAAGCAGCAGTCTTTCTTTTTTTGTTTTAACATCTTTTAGCACCACCTGCAGGTCAAACTGTATTGAAGGGTCAAACTGAATTACTGCGTTCACACCTAATAGTTAAAATAATCACTTATCAGGAAGGTGGAGGAGAGTCGTCTTCAGACAAGACTCACAAAAGCATTCAAATGACACCTTAAATCAGTGTTTCCCAACCTTTTTTCCTTAAGGGACCCCTTTTTCTACCATTTAGTAAACTGACTTATGTTACACATTTTATGGATATTTCATATTATATTCAAAACTGTACAATGAACCCAAGCATGGAACTCACTAACTGCAAGAAGTTTGTGTAAAACAAATGATTTTGGTGAATTTTGAGCAGATTATTTCATGTTTAGGGAACTTTTTTATACAATTCTCTGTCTGTATTATAATTTTTTTTATTGTTAACATTCGGTGTTTGTTTTCCTCCCACTTGGCCACTGTTCTATTAGCTCTTTGCTTGTTTTAACTGTGTACTTTTCTAATGCTGGATGAGGCTTCAAAGTTTAGATCTTCTAAAATCTAAACTCTATAATAATAACAATTTCACTTGGTTTTCTTCACAGAAATGATTGAAATGCTGAGATATAGGCATAAAATATATATTTTTAAAGTTTTAAATCCCCCCTCCTAAAATCAAGAAGGCCTCCCGACCCCCTT